ATTCATGGGTGTTAAGGCAGATGTGATTAAATTCGCGCCGTCCGATGGGGCCTCGTAGTTCAGGTGGCCAGAGCGTTGGCCGTACTAAAGCCACCCTTTGCTGTGTCGTCGGTTCGAATCCTATCGACGCACCGAGTTGTTCACAATTGGGTCAAAGTGAATTATTTGAAATCTGCCGCTGTGTTACACTCATGAACATTGCCGCCTATGCCACGCCATTGCAGGCTTTTTTGTTGATGCCGACGACAATGGAAAAACGGAAAAACAATGACTAACCCATTTGGTGTGATTTCTGGTTAAATCTGAACAGTCAAAATGTGCACCGCCCTAATCAGAAAAGGGTAAAATCCTCGCGGAGCATCTGCGTTAACAAACTGTATTTTCATTAGGAATGTAGCCGATTTTATGGACACTCCATTGTTCAATGACGTACAAACGCAGCAATTGCGTACGCTGCTGATTCTGCCAAGGTCATCTAGGGGCGCTTCTACAAGCATTCAGCTCTCGGCCGTCTGGCGAAATCTACGTGCACGGACTGCGATCGATGCATGCTGCGTCAGTTGTCGAGCGTCCCACGTAGATAGTGTAGATCCAGGTGATCGTATCTCTGGTCGCAACGAATTCACTAACAGGGCAATGCTCGATCATCTGTTTTCATCATGCCCCTTGAAATCACTCATGTGGGCTCGTCATACTCATTGAAGTCTTTTCTGAGCACAAATCCTAAGATATTTTTACAAGAATGACAAATGGATCTGTCGTAGAGATATACTTCGTCCGACCGTCGGAGCCGCCGATGTCCTCCGTGTGCTACACAGCGAGATGCAGCAGTCACGGTAACTTGCACGTGAATTCGTTTATGGTGATTGTAGAATATCCGCAGTATCTACCGCATTCTCTCCTACTCCCCCCACCTGCACCCGCTGTCAAGACAGTGTCAGGAAGACGGGAAGCCGGACCCACAAATAGGCGTGTCACAACACCCTCTGGTGGTTTATATAAACATCACCCACAACAACAACAACAACAGGAACAGGAGCCCAACAGGAGTCGGACGTACGAGAGTGAATGGTCAGTCATGCCCGACACCTGTACATTCACAGGCAATGCAAGCGCATCTACTGGCAGGGAACCAGGTGTCAGCGTATACCAGGCTGCGAGGGCCATAGTTTGTTGATACTGCCATAGATCTGTTGACATAGAAGGGCGGCACGTGTCCCTTCAGGTGGACTGGACGGTCACTCCTAAATGTTGAGTAACCAAGGAGACGTCGACTGGCAGCCACCACCAATGAAGCGCACACTATCTCCTCACATGCTTCAAAGTGTCACAGAACGCTTGAGAAGGAGCTATTTCAGCCTGGCTCACAGCACATTTGTCCGCCACTCCACACACTCGAGAAGACGCCGTGACAGCCTGACTGTCAGTCCGTCGATCAGCCACACTGAAAAACACACTCACAGACAACTGGGCAGACTGTGTGGACCAGCCGTGTGTCGCCGAAGGTCGCCGCTGCAAACGTGTCGTTTCAGATTGTTTACGCTAGTGTTCTGGCCTGTTCCTGCCCGTCTTACCCAATCAGCGAGAGGAAGTTGCGTTGATTGGTTCAGAGCCCAAAAAAACACACACAACTGGACAGACTGCTGATGCTGATGATTGAGAATGAGATGGAGTCGTGAAGTTGGCGGTTGTCTGCCGCGGGTTTTCGTGAACGCGATTGTGCCCGAATAGACACATGCGGTGAATAAATGTGTGAGTGGAATGTGGGCAGTGGTGGCAGGTACGACGGGTGTAGGTCGGTGCTCCAGGCACTGTTTCGCCAGCCTCTGTGCAATGGATTCGCAAATGACCAACCAGACCGATTTGTGAGGCGAAGGGAGGATCGCAAGTAGGCGGGGTATTGACCGGGTCCTTATAATCGGTGTTTGCGGTGGATGTGGTGTTGGTGTTTGTTAATGTGTCACGATTGTTTGTTATGTTAATGGGCATGTCGAAGCCACATTAGCAGTTGTTGAGGAGGAGGAGGAGGAGGAGGAGGAGGAGGAGGAGGAAGAGGAGAAAGAAGAAGATGGTAGTGGTGGCTCGGGGGGGGCGATCCAGGTTAGTTGACGTTGTGGAAGGTGCGCGAGAGATGGGAGGAGAGACGAGGGTTGGGGCAGTCCGTGTGCCGCAGTCGGACCGGAGGTGTCCAAAAAGTCCAATTGGCGTCCAGAATGCTCGTTGACATTGTGGACATGTTAGAGATGATTGGGCGATGGCGTTGTGAGGCAACAGCGCAGACGAGAGCGACAGTCGATTTTTGCGTGTCCCGCGTAGAGACTTTGCGGCTGCGGTGATGTGATTGGCTCCAACGATTGCTGAGCCTGTCTTCACTGCTCTCTTCCACGCTGGTCTGTCCTTGTCGGGGTCTTCGCAGTTTGCCGGGTTTATCTTCAGGCGATTCATAGGCGTTTTTATCGTATCATTTTATTGCCAAAGAAGAGTCTTTAAAGTAGCCTGTCGTCGTCCATCCGTACGAGTTGGCCGCATTGCGGGGATGCTGAGGATCCCCATCCGGTCCAGTACGTCCGTGTCTGGGATCCCGTCTTGCCACCTCAGATTCATCACTCGTCGAAGACGGCCGAGATGGAGATGATAGAGTCTACGTGCCTGCATCATGTACACAGTCCAGGTCTCCGCTCCATGTATCAACGTCTGCAGGATGACTGCCTTGTGCATCTCTAGGTTCGGGGCTGATGTGAAGCCCGTAACGATTCCAAGCTGCATTTTGAGAACAACCTTGGAAATTCGGCGGGCCATTTCATCGTCGATTTTGATGCCGCAGGAGAGGGTGCTGCCCACATACATGAAGTTCTCCGCCACTTGCAGTTGGATTCCGCTCACGCTGGTCGCGCCTCCGGCCGAGGACAATGTCTAGTATGCGCCAAGGCCACGACCGAGTATGTATCCAAGTGGCCTTGAAGATGGGGACCCAGAATTCATTTCCAGGCAGCATGGTCTGCGCCGACGTGGGCGATAAAATCACCAAGGGCAAGTCACCAAGTCGTCGGCTCAGACGCCAGGAGTGCGTGCAGTTCCGCGTAGAATTTTTTTCTCGTCTCGGCAGCGCAGCTCATCCGCGGAGCGTAGTTACTGACAGGGGTGTTAATTTCTCCAACCCAGAGAGGAAAGCGGAGGCTCATCAGGCGATCGTTGATGCCCTGCAGCATACATGGCAGTCGTCCCACGATGTCGTTCCGGATGGCGAAGGCGACACCCGCGTCTCGCCGCTTTGCCCTGGGCCGACCACTTCAGAAGAAGGTGTAACCGGCACCCACCTCCTCCAGTTGGCCTTCTTCGGAGAATCGAGTCTGGCTGAGTGCGGCGATGTCCACCTTTTAGTGCGCCAGTTCTCGTGCCATAAGCGCCGTCCTCCGTTCCGGTCGGTTGCCCCCCGGATTGTCTAGAAGGAAACGAACACTGCCGGCTGCCAGAGCGAGCGGACTCACCCTAACAATGGGCGGCAGGAATGAGGAGGAGGAGGAGGAGGAGTTGAAGTAGGAGGGGGAAAATGGCGGGAGAGTGGAAGGATTAAAGGGAAGGGGAGGAAGGACAAGAGTTTTGTTTCGATTTTAATTTATTTGACAGTGAGTTTCGAGTCTGTGGAAATAATCAACCTACAGACGGCCTGGGACTCCACCATTTGTTTAGAACAACTTTTCTAGCCCCTCTCCCTTTGCGGGGGTGAGCAGTGCTTTCACTATATAAGGCTGCGCATATGTCCCAGACGGCTACCAAACTCCACTTTGATCCCCGACTTTTGTTCTGTGGAAAAAAGACCAATGTTGGCCTGACTACGACAACGCCACAACATTTCGACCGTCGCATCCGACGACGTCCTCCGTACCCTCCACAGCAGTGTGAGATCAGCGACAGTGACTTCCGCGTGCTTTAGTCTAAAGTTATGGAAGACTTGCGTCGCAAGTACCACACTCTTCTCCTCCCCCACCTGGACCAGGCGTCAAGACAGTTTCAAGAGAACCGGAGGTGGGGTAGGGGGCAGGCAGATGGTACGGTCGAACACGCAACTTGGCGTTCCACTCCCCACGCCCTAGTCCAAACAGGGAACAAACGGGTGTTTAAATAACAGCAACATCAACAAGAACGCAGAATTGAGGCTGGTTCGGCCGCCACACCCGGGTCAGATCCCACGCATTGGGAGTGCCATAGAGGTCACAATAAGAAGGAGCCATTGGAACCTGACTATAAGGCCACCAGCCAGCCACTCCATACGCAAACACATTAGGTCGACTGCGAGGTACATATTATTCCGTCAGTTGGCAACCTGACAAGCCACGTCTTTTAGTGCTTCAGATACTTTATAATGAGGAGAAAATGTGCTGATTCGTCGATCTCACTCTCACTTCACATTCTCAGGCCGCAGCCAATGTCCGAGCCGGTCAGTTGACTGGAGCGTGGAATGGGCTGATAGGGTATAGTGAACGTGTATATGCGCGCCACATGCACGACCTGCCTCCTCAAACACAAGCACCATGATTACACAAAACTCGCGTTGAGCAGCGTACATCTGACATGCGTGAGGCTGCCGTGAACACGTTGAGAAGGAGTTGTTTCAGTCTGACTCTCCTAGTGGACGGTGGTTGTGGAAGAACGCGATCAAATTTGCATCTTCCTGTGGTTAAACATCTTGCTCACAGTTCTGTATGGCGATGCGGATCCCGAGGTTCTTATCAGCGAACAGAAGTTCATGGATGCTGACTGCGGATACACGCGACCGGGAGTGCATCCGTCTGTGGTTGAGGATGTGGCCAGCCGTCCCATAGGCCAGGCGGATCACGGAGAGTTCGTCGCGTTAAGCGTCCATCAGCATGGAGGGGAATATAAGACTGCGAATTCGTCCGTGATGCGTGCCATCATGTAATCATGGAGCCGACGCACCCTCTGAATGAATCGTCCCGGACAGCCAAATCACCGCATGATTATCCACATTTCGTCACAATTCACGCTGTCGAAGGCATTTGTTGTCGTCGTCGGTGGGGTGGTCTATGCAGGCTTTTTGCAGGCGGTCCTTCTCGGAGAGCAGGTTGTAGGTGGCGGGATGCGCGACCGAGGACGGCCAGCGCCTTCGACTGGATTGTGTCCCAACAGTTCTCCACGGATGCGTTCTCCTCAACGGTGGCAGCGGCGGCTGAATTGGCGATTTGTAAGTTGTCCAGCCGTTGAGCTAGCTCATTGTTGAAATGGAGATGGTGAGCGGGCAAAGACCACAGGGCAATATTCAGCTTACCTGGGGGTCGTTTACCTTGACATATCCTGTCAGGTCAAATGTCTGGGTCTCAAACCTTCATGCCACCGTGGAGCCGACGCATCATCTGATCTAATCCTTCTCGTTCTCACACTGTCACTTACGCCACCGTCGTTTATCCTGCCCAAAATCAAACCGCAAGACTGTATTTTAGAGAACTTTGTGCAGTTTCCAAGCATTGCGATTTTGCCCGGTGTTTGCCCAACTCTGATCGACAAAACGCTCTACAGCAGACTTAGCTTAACGTACAGCCGCTGAAAGACAACAACTCCACACCACCATCTGGATCACCTGTGGCTACATTGAGCATAGGCGAAGGGTTAGCGTAATTCAGGGCGGCAGTCGCTGCGAGACTGAAGAGAAGATCGAGTAGAGAGTGCGTCATCCTCTTCTTTCACGGGAATTGAAGCCTCACCCTGCTAACACACAACACCATCACGCTTGCAATCTGCACACACGAAACCACACCCAGCCAGCTCCCCCCCTCCCTCCGCATCGGATGAGTAGATTTTAGTGCAAATCGGTGCATCCAAAGTGGCGTGATCTGCTCGCGTCTGTCACTTGGTTTGTGAATAATGATGACAGGAGCCCTAATGCAATGAGTGCAACATTCGTACCTAACACATGGCTGCATGTTTGCAACCACTACGCGGGGAATTTACCTGGCATATATATTTTGTGCTATAACTGAAGGTAAACCCACTGTATAGTCTAAAGTTTCCTATCTGTAAGTGCCAAGAGCGACTTCAGTTTACAGAATATATTTCTTCAGATTAACCCAACTGTAAAAAACTCGGCGCCTCGGTGGGATTCGAGCCCACGCAGTAAGGGGGAGGCTTCAGTACAGCCAACGCTCTAACCAACTGAGCTACGAGGCCCCGCCGGACGACGCGAGTTTTTTTCACATATACATTTTGTGCCATAACTGAAAGTAAAACCACTGTATAGTCCTAAATTGCCTATCCGTTAGAACCGAGAGCCCCTTCAGTTTACAGCATATATTTCCTAAAGTCTCACGCATCCACGTTGATTGATTTGTTAAACATCGGTGCCACGGTGGGACTGGAACCCACGACAGCAAGGGTTTAACTATGTCAAGTAATCCATATCTCCTTATTTTGTTTCGCAATGCGAGCCTATTGCAGCTTGGCCGACTATTTTCGATATTGCCGTATTAAACTCAAGTACACAGACGAGTCATTTTTATACGCACGTTAAATACTCGACGCCTCGGTGGGGTATGAACCCACTGCAGCAAGAGTTAGCCTTAGTACAGCCAACGCTCTAGCCAACAGAGCTAAGAGGCTCCACCGGACGACGCTACATTAATCGTATCTGTCATGATACCTATGAATTACCTTTATGAATAACTTTGAATACCTATATGAATTACTCGTAGCCATCTGGTGGATTCTAGATGTATTACTTAGGAAATCTTGCCTGAGCAGTCAAATTACTGTATCAGATTTGGTGGATTCCAGACGTTGCAGTAAGTGGGGCGGGAATCTTGACCCAAATGTGATAAAACTCGCGTAGTCCGGCGGGGCCTCGTAGCTCAGGTGGTTAGAGCGTTGACTGTACTGACGACTCCTCCTTACTGCGTGGGTTCGAAACCCACCGAGTCGCCGAGTTTTTTACAGTTGGGTAAATATGAATTATTCAAAATCTGCCAAAATATCTAAGAAAATATTTCCTAAAGACTCACACATCCACCTCGATCGAACTGTGAAGCCTTGGTGCCACGGTGGGATTTGAAGTCGAGACAGGAATGGTTTGACTATGTTAAGTTATCCATATCTCCTTATGCTGATTCGCAAGACGAGCCTATTGCAGCTTGACCGACTATTGTCGATATCGCCGTATTAATCTCAAGTCCACAGACCAGTTATGTTGATACCGATATGAACTACTCGGCGTCTCGATGGAGTTTGAACACACGACAGCATGGGGAAGCCTTAGTTCAGCCAACGCTCTAGTCACCTGTGCTAAAAGGCTCCATCGGACGACGCTACAATTATCGTATCTGCCAAAATACCTATGAATTACGTGAGACTCGTAGCCATCTGGTGGATTCAAAATGCATTAATTAGAAAATCCTGCTTGGAAAGTCAGCTTACTTTACCAGATTTGATGGATTCCAGACGCTGCTGTAGATCGAATGGGTAAACTTGATTGATATGTGATTCAACTCGCGTCGTGCGGTGGGGCCTCGTATCTCAGATGGCTAGATCGTTGGCTGCACGAAAGCCTCTCTTTGCTGTTGTGGGTTCGAATCCCACCAATTAGGCTTAGGAGCAACTTCGAAAACTGAAACCACTTATTTCTCAGAAGTAAAGCATTCTTAACAGTGTCATTTTGATGTGAGGAGAATCACTCGATCGCTAGAGCGATAATAATGTTCACTTGAGTTTCCCGATAACTTTTAAATCAAGGACAGAAACATATGGAATTTGTGGACGTACAGCGGTTGAAATATTTATAAGCTGCAATTCCTATGCTATCATACGCATGTCTATAATGATAACGCCCGCATTCACTGCAGCTTTTCGTGATTTGTTTGGCTATTTCCTGAGAAGCAATGTTTAAATTGTGACCGTCCGCGATCTAGCCGTTTAGTAAATACTAACATCATCCTTGGTTCTAAAAACTGACTTTGACGATTCTATGAATTTGGAAACTGAAAGTTTTGTTAAAAACGCGGTCTGCCTGGCAGACTGAAGTCGACAAAATCTTTAGTTTAAAATTCAGTGTGTGTGTGTGTGTGTGTTCGTCGTTTCTATGTACAAGGGTCCTAACATCAGAAAAAATTATTTCATTTTTCGCATCTTCTCTTAGCCACCCTTGGTTTGCTGTCCTGGATTATGCATAACTAATTTATGCGAATATATCAACACGCGTATTTGAAAAACATGAAACCCGTATTGCACTTGAGCATTCAGTTAAATCCTACTTGGCTAGACTTCGTGTACCTATGTTCGGTGAAACACTCCTGCAGATTGTCGAATCCGCATTAATATAACCTTGGAATGGCGTGCTTCGATGTTAATCACAACTTCATCGCATTTGTTTTACCTTCTGGCTTCTGGCTGGAAAATACAGATATTTACAATGACTGATTAATTATGCCTCCTTTGTCGTAGGGAATCAAGTAAGTATGCAGAACACTGCGGTTTCTCTTAGGAGCAACTTCGGAGACCGAACCCACTTCATTTTCAGAACTGGAGCTTCCGTGACAGTGTTATTTTACTGTCAGGAAAATCACTTGATCATTAAGGCTAACGTTATGTTCACTAGAGGTTCCAAGTTCATTTTCGAAAAAAGACAGCAACAGATTGAAGTTGGAGGGGCGAACGGTGGGTGAAATATGCATGGACTGAAATTCCTATACTATCCCACGCATATTCTTAATAATAACGTCTGCACTCCTGGAAATATTCGCACTTCGTCTGATGATCTGTCGAGTAGGTATGTCCAAATTGTCTGACGGCGAACTAACCGTGTTTTAAGTAAAAACACAGCCTTTTTCTTATAACCGACTCTGGCATTTCGGACATCGGCAACTGACATTTTTGATGGAAATGTGGATATCTAGCAAAGACAAAGTCTACGTATGTCTGAAAGTCGGACAAAATGTTGACATTTCCTGAGTGGACTTTTCCAATTAACGCAAGACAAGCCCCGACTTAGCACGCGTGATGATCCAGCGCATCACGCCACTGACTACCTGCCGCCAAGGTCATCTAGGGGCGCTTCTACTCGCACTCAGCGTTCGGCCATCTGGCGAAATCTGCCAGCTGCGTCATCCATCCAGCGCGACCGATTTTCTCTCGTCAGGCGTGCAGGCCCCCTCACGGTCCAGGGGCCACCAGGGGCCCCTTATAACTGACTGTCCACCTGGTACGCAAGAAGAAGCGGGGTCTTCCCACGTAGATAGTGCGGATTCAGTTAATCGTATCTCTGGTTGCAACCAAATCACTAACCAGGGTTATGTTTGAACATGCGTTTTCTTAAATACCCTTGACATCATTCATGTGAGCTCGTCGTGCTCGGTGAAATCATTGCTAAGCATAAATCCCGAGACAGCCTAACCGCTACCTCTTTTTCAGAGTAAGAAACGGATCACTTTTCTGCTACGGAGACAGACAGCGTACATGCCGCCGACGTCTTCCGTCGACCGAATAATAAGGAGTGTAACGTTTCCCTTAATAGAGAAGGCCGATAGCAACTCACACAGCAGTCTATCGCATTTCGCGGGGGTGGGCTACATTGGCTTTTAGGAGTGGGACACTATTCAGACTTGGTGACATCTGTCCTAATTCATAGTGCCAGGTCCGCCGTCCACTCTCTAACTGCTCCTGTCGCCTCAGTAAGTAGTACGTGTGCCATTCATATTAACACACAAGCTCCCCGATCTGCGATCTTACTAGTGTTACTCACTTCGTCAACAAGTGGGCATCTCCTTGCTATGTTTACCTTGATCACAGCTCTCATTCCTCGCAGAGATATGCTAGAGATTATTTTGTCACTCCAAGTGTTGGACACTTTACACGCTTTAGGTGTTTTTTAAAAAAAATTGGAGGCCATGTTTATTAACCCCGCTGGGGACGCCTGGCGGTGAGAACATCTCCACCACTAAATCTAATTCGTCTCCAGTATCTTATCCGCTGGCGACAATGATTTCTCCCCAAAGCCATGCATTAGTCCCGAAAACGAGCATCTCCCTCGTAAAAAACAACCGGTCCATACATTTCATTCCTTTCAGAGATAATCACGCCATTAATTAGTTTCCTTGGGTGTTGGGCACTGCACATCCATTCGACGTTTTCAAAAAAACGACAAAACAGCTTACATTTCAAGTCGTTTATTTCTTAAAATGCGGATCATAGAATGAACATCAAGAAACGCAGAAGTTTACATGCGAATGCTTGCAGCTCCAGCGATCTTTTCGAGCGTCTCCAGTGGTTTCTTCGACGACCAGCTCCAAGATGTCAAGTCGTTGCTGACATCAGCTGGTCCGCCTGGTGCTGTGAAAGTCTCCACCGTGTTTCCTGATCCATTCCAACAGCCTGCAAAATTGTGAATAATTCCAGTGAAATTCTATCTTCATAAATATCAAAATAGACAACATTAGCATACAATTTGCACAAAACCGCTAGACAAAAATTTATTTCAATAAAACTCAGAGCAGACAAAGTAAACTTTGAACGCAGTATCTACTGAAGACGCTTTAAACAGTCGGCTGCATAATTCTCGTAAAAATCTACTTTAATAAACAGACGATTTGCACTACAAACGGACTACCATCGGCCCTAACCTCGTTGTGTTTACGAAACGCCATGCAAAGTCACATTTTCACATGATTGCCATCACTAGGGATGTCTTAATCTTCCTCATAAAAAGGGATTACACAGAAAAGGCCATGGAATGGCATGAAAAAGAGGAGAAAGTGGAGAAGGAATGCAGTCAGTGTAGAGCAAAGAAGGAGGAGGCATCATTACCGAGAGCAAACATGGCGTCGTCGGTGGAGGTGAGAAGAGCGAAAAACGCGCGGGGTTCCTTCATGCCAGTCAACTCTGTCCACTGGCCCCGGGGACACCTGGCATCTGGTAGTGTGAACATCTCCACCACGTTTAGACTCTTTCCACCAACACCATATCCCCCGGCGACAATGATTTTCGCCCGAAAGTGTGTCGCTGCCAGCTTGCTTCGTGCAGTTCTCATGGGTGCGGCTGGCTGCCAAAAGTCCGAGGAGGTCGCCCTCTCTCGCCAGTCTGCTCGCAGGTGGCAGAACTCCACAGAAGCCAGCACGGAGGAGCCATTATGACCGCCAAAAACGAAGATTCTGCTGTCGCCGGGCAGGCAGGCAGCAGCTGGTTCGTCCCTCTTCTCTCGCAGATCCGGCAGTTTGAACCACCTGTGTGTGTTGGGGAGGAGGAGGAGGCGACGAGTGAGAAGACAAAACAGGAAGATTTTGCAAGAAAAAAAAGGAGGCGCCAGGACGAGTGTGCTCTCACCTGTCCCGACCGACTTCATAGACTTCACAGGAGGAAAGGCGACTACCGTTGTATCCACCGAAAACGCCGATAAGCGTCTCCCCTCCGGCTTCCGTCAGGACTGCGGCTGCGTGGTACGAACGTCCGACGGCGAGGGACGCCCGTTTGCGCCAGCGCCGTTCTGCCACCAGAAACTCCTCGACACTCGTGGAGTTGCTCGCTTGCGCAGTGTTTCCTCCAACCACGAAAATGCTCTCTTCAGTGGGGGTGGGGTGGGATAGAAAAAAGTTTCATAAAATTGCGCGGAAGAAAGTTAAAGTGGAAAGATAAAATAAAAAAGGCATGTAGTTGACAGAAAGAGGGCGAATATCATCGTCGGACAAAAAGACGTGGGCGCCAGTGACGGACACAAATCACGCAGGTGGAGACACGGTTGGGTAAATCGAAGACGGAAAACAGCAATCGCGTCGGGACAGGCCAGGCGAATGGACAACTTCGAGACCTCAAAAGCCCTCAATTACTGCTACTGCAATCCTTTGCATTGTGTGGCGATGGCAGCTTTACTGGCAGGACTGTGTGTGTGTGTGTTTGTTATAATTCTGGCAAAAAGGGACACCAACTGGTCAAATTAGACAAAGAGGAAAACAAGGCAGGTGAGCAGAAGAGGAGGTGCGTAACTGTCAGGCAACTCACCGCCCACGACACTGTAGGAGGCCCATTCTCGCTTCTCCATGTCAGCAATCCTCTCTTCCTTTTCGAGGTGCGGATCGAAACGCAGGACAGACCACCTGTTCTGATCTTTGTCCTTTCCAAATACGAAGAAGATCGTCTGAGGCGGTCTCCGACGTCGGTTGAAGGGGCACGGAGGCTTGTCCTTGTCTGCGTAGGTCATCCACTGCTCCACCAGAGCCATAAAACGACTTTCATTAGAAAATAAATGACGAACTGGAACAGCATATACTTACACACAGCTATTGCCTTCCTGGAACATTGGATGACTATCGACTAGGCGATTGC